AAAAACACAGACCTTGTTTTGATCTCCATGTACCACCCTGGTAGGTCCTTCTAGCCTTGGGCAGTAGAGTGAGCACAGGCATACCAGTGGAGTTTTGGGCCACCACTAGATATGTACATGCTCCTACCTATTCTGGAGCCAACCTATTCTGGTCAAGGTTTTTCAGTAGCACCTGATCACCAGGCCTTATCAGTGCAGCTTAGGGCCATCTGTCATATGCCTTCTCTGCTTCTTTTAATCATTCACAAGGCTGCTCAAGCTGCATCTGCTGCTATTTGAAGACACTAGTGCTGACTCAGTACTCAGTTGTCCATGTTTTCGGTGCCACTAAACTCAAAATCTTTGCTGCTAGGGATGTGTCTGGGGAGGCAGGCATCCCTTCTGATAAGCAGATAGAAAGGAAAATGAGCATGCACACTCCGCCTGGGGAAAGGAAGAGGAAGGTGAAATACTGCCACTAGATGGAGCTGGAGGTGGAGGACATGACAGTACCCCCCCTTACGTGTGCCTCCTAGAGAACATCCAAACAGGTCGGAAAATCTCTTCTTCAGGTGTCGAATGAGACCAGGATCCAAAATCTGACCCTTGGGGATCCGGCTCCGCTCCTCTGTTCCATAACCCTCCCAGTCAACCAGAAACTGGAGGCCTCTTCCTCTGCGGCGGACGTTTAGGAGATGTCGGACCGTAAATGCTAGCGCATCGTCCACCATCCTGGGTGGGGGAGGGTGGTGGATGAGAGGGGTTCAGGGGGGGCAAGAGCAGAGTTTTTAACAGGCTTAATCTGAGACACATGGAACGTGGGGTGAATCTTCATGGAAGATGGAAGCTTAAGGCGAACTGCGTTAGGATTTATAATTGTTTCAATAGCAAAAGGACCAATAAGCTGTAGGACCAGCTTCTTGGACTCAACCTTTATTGGTAGGTCCTTCGCTTTTAGCCAAACCTCTTGTCCGACAGTGTAGTCAGGGGCAATGGTGACGGTTGGCCTGGTGCTCCATTTTTTGGGTGGCCCAAAGAAGCGCAGTGCGAGCCTTCTTCCAAGTCTTTTCGCACTGACGGATGAAGGCTTGCACGGAGGGCACTGAGATCTCCTGTTCTTGAGATGGATAGAGATGTGCTTGATGGCCCAGAGAACATTGGGGATAAACCAGAGGATGAGTTGGTTAAGGAGCTGTGAGCATACTCCACTCAGGATAACTCCAGGCTGAGGGGTTCTCTGAAACAAGGCAATGGAAAAAAGTCTCCATATACTGATTGGTGCGCTCAGTTTGGCCATTAGACTGCGGGTGGAAACCTGAAGTTAGAGTCACTGTAGCTCCTAAGGCAGAACAGAAGGATTTCCAAACCTTGGAGGTAAATCGGAGACCCCGATCTGAGACGATGTCTGCAGGGATTCCGTGCAGCCGGATCACATGGTACACCAAAAGGTCTGAGGTCTCTTTGGCTGAGGGGAGCTTCAGAAGAGCAACAAAAAGTGAGCCACCTTAGAAAAACGGTACACAATAGTAAGAATAGGATTCAAGGATTCAAGGTCTTTATTAGTCACAAACACAGCTATACATGGTATAAGGCGCAGTGAAATGCTTTGTATACCTGTTCCACAGCGAAACAATATTAAGATGAATAAAAATTAAACATAAAACACACAAGAAATAAATATATATGACTATATATATATATATATGTGTGTGTATGTATGTATATATATATATATATATATGTGTGTGTGTGTGTGTGTGTGTGTGTGTGTATGTATATATATATATATATGTGTGTGTAGCGAGAGAGAGAGAGAGAGAGAGAGAGAGAGAGAGAAAGGGATGGAAAATAAGCAAAAATAAATAAAGAAAATAATAATACTGTATACATGTATATATACAAAGTGCAAAGTGACCGGTTTGATTGTCTATTGAGTCTATTGTCTCAGGTTCAGCAGGCAAATAGTCCTCCTTATTGTTGTTGGAGATCAGACCCACCACTGCTGTGTCGTCAGCAAACTTAGTGATGGTGTTACAGTCTGATGTGGACAGACAGCTATTAGTGTACAGTGAGTACAGCAGAGGGCTCAGCACACAGGCCTGCAGGGCACTGATGTTCAGGGTGTGTGAGGGGGACAGGTGATTCCCCACTCAAACCACCTGTGGTCTGCTGGTCAAAAAGCTGCAGCCCGACCTGCACACGGAGGAGGTGAGTCTGAGGTCCTGCAGCTTAGTGACCAGTCTGGAGGGGATTATGGTGTTGAATAGTGGAGTTACCATGAGAGTTTGGGAGTCGGGATGGAACTGTCCTCCAGTTGACAGACACACTGAAATACACACATTCTCTCTTTGCTTCAACACTTTCTTCTAGCACAGATGAATTATACCTTACACTACTGCGGGCACACACTGTAGCCAGTTTGAATTTCTACAAGGCAAGCTCATTGACTGTGATTGATTTTGAAACATCTTTGGACATCTCCCATGCATATGGATGCAGCTTTACACACACACACCTGCACACACCAAGCACACACTATGTGGCGAAACAGGCATCTTAAGCCGTAACCTTCCGATATACAATCAAGACTCAAATGGGGAAAAATGACAGGTTTGGGAGCATGTTTTTCCAGCAGGACAATGCTTTTATAAGCACCCTAGGGCACGATTTCCATGCAGCAACTCTGGAGAGCTGTTTGATTGCTTTTCAATCAAGCGAGACAAACACTAATTTGATTTTTTTTTTTTGAGGAATTATAGCCTTCTTTCGTCAAGCGTGGATGACTGGCACTTCTCTGATAGCTTCAGCAACACTCCTCTGTTTATGATGACTGTTTACTGTCAAGACTTTAGCTTATAAATATATATATATACAAAGAGAAAGACACACGCAATCTGGGGAATATCATGCATCAGACCTTTTTTTTACTTGTTTATTTAATGAGCTTGATTGATCTATTGTAGTTACAGTAAACAAGAACATTAGTGACACCATATTTCAACTCGTGGGGGTGGGGGATGCTTTCCCTTTCACTAGTGGTCTCAACAGTGTCTTTTTCCACGTCTTTATTTATCCTAAGAAAAACATTTTTAGTCAGTTTTGTGGCTGAAAACACACCAGCATCCAAAATTGCAGCCATGATTATATAAAGCATAGTGTGACCACTATTGTAACCATTTTCCTAGAAACTAATGTGTTTTTTAAAGGCTTTTAAGAGTTGGCTACCACCCTTTGCATTGTATGTTTGTACGTTTTAAACCATACTGTATTTTACGAAGAGTTGGTTAGAATATATGCAATAGATACTGAGCTGACCCCAATAGTTGAGGAGGGAAGTGCTTAAAAAACAAAAAACCTGATACCACCCCACTACCAGCCATGACACCTACAGTCATGAGGATTGTGGATCCCAGATAAGAGGGTCCGCTGTGACCAACAGAGCAAAAGACAGCAATATATATGTGCCATGCCACATGTGAAATCTAAAAGAAAAACATCTTCTAGATCTGTCAGGATGGTGTGAAGCTTGTGTTCTGAGGAGGAAGCCACAAGAACTAGAAAGGATCCCACAGTGGACACTTCTAGACACGGCACCTTCATTGTGGATTCAGCCACGTTTTGGCCAAGTGACTGGCTCACATACCTGGTCACTATCAGAACTACAAAGGATCAAATGGACACCAGAACATCCTGACCAGCTTTTGACCTGGCATCAAAAGAATTCCACTCTCTCTGACAATGCTACAAGTCACACCAAACTGACATCAAGACAAAGGAAGACAGTTGTTCCACTTTCTTGGACTCCACTGTTCTACATGTTTACTCATTTAAAGGAACTTCTGAATATAAATGTCAAGAAGCTCCTCTATGATCGGTTGCACCATACCCTCGTCTTAGATCTGTTATTTGATGTCTAAGTTTAGGTGTCAAATTCGGATTATAAGTATGTTTAATGTTCATATACTGTGTTTAGTCTTGTTTTTTCTGTTTTGTCATCTGTCTACCAGAGTACACATTTGTAAATGATGCATAACAGTATTGTACTATTTTAAAATTATATAAATCAGTACCAATTTGCTAAAAAAAAAGTAAAAATAAATGTGCAATGTATTTATTATTTAATTTCAGAACATGCCTTTCCATTTACCTCACTCACATCATAACTTTGTTTGTTTTATGTTGTTGTCTTGTCCCAGTGTGTGATGTCGATGTGTCATAGTCAGTAACTGTCTTTTTGTAACAACAAATGTAGGTTCGGTGCCTCGACTATTTTGTTGTCCTCATTTGGATCCCTAACTTGTATAGATGCAGCTACAAAGCTTTTTACTTTCATAACAATTTCCTTGAAAGAACTGCTTCAAATATGCTTCATCCAAATAAATAAATATCCATCACTCATTTATTAGAGGAGCCTTGATTTGTTGTATTTTTTAAGGTGTCTATATGTTTGTAGATGTCACATGTTGCCACACTCAGGTAACCTGCTATGTGCTGAATAAGACTATGGGGTTCGTAAGCATTTAAATTTGCATATTGGAAGACTGAAAATAACAGCATGCTAATATAACCCTGCAACTGCTGTGGTGTTTCATTTTGGTTAGGTGGGCTTATTTCACATGTTGGATTTGTTCTCATACTACAATTCTACAGTTCTATAATTTTATTTTGCAGACGCTTTAATCCAAAGCGACGTACATTTGAGAGTAGAGTATACTACATATTCCTTTGTTTTTTCTTCAGAATATTATCACTATTGTTGCTGTAAGTACATTTCAATAGAACCTCTGATCAGTACATTATACATCTACAGTAAAACAATTGAACATCCATGGCCATTTCAATAACATAAAAGATGTAGATCCATACATGTGAGTGTTTATGTAAGGCTTTGATTCAGCCATCATGGTATTTATATTTCTCTGGTTGTGAATAGATCCATGCTGCTGGGTCCTGGTGATCTGTTGAATGCTGTATTCCATATTAATGACGCTCTACTTCTCCCCCTCTGTCTTGGTTTGCAGACGGACGCTGCACTGATGTATGATGCCGTGCACGTGGTGGCCGTGGCTGTGCAGCAGTCTCAGCAGATCACTGTCAGCTCATTACAGTGCAACCGACACAAACCCTGGCGCTTCGGGAATCGCTTCATGGCCCTCATCAAAGAGGTAGATGCTTGTCTACCTGCTCACCATTCTGTCCTTCCTCAACATACACAGAACCTTCACACAGAAAACACATGCTCTCAGGAAAGCAAATGTAGACAGAATGTAAATAAGGCTGAAGTAGTCGAGAAGAATGTGAATATAAATAAACAGATATGATTTATCTGTGTATTTATTTATATGGAAATTGTTTTTCCAGTGTGTGTACATGCATACTTCCCTGAGGAGGGCAGCCATCTTGAGCCTGCTCTTTGAATTTCAGCATTAATCACCTATGCACAAGCAAAAAGACAAAATCTAATTTTTTTTTGTAATTGCACAACAATTCACAGCAATTTTGCGTATCTGGGAAAGCTAATCCAGAGCTTTTTGTCTGTGGAAAGAGTGGGGATTAGGAACCTATATTTAGGGCTCTGTAGCTCTCTCGTCACGTTTAGTTTCTAGAGATCATGGGGAGACTGCTAAGAATTAAACTGTGGGTAAAGGGTTGACAAACCCAGAAGAACCACAAAGATTTGGATGTACTCATATTACGTGCTTCGTTTTTCACCATGTAAGCCCTTTTCTCCCTGGTCCTCATTTCAAATTCTGTGTTCTTTTTTTCTTTCCATCTACTGCTTGGGGGCTGTCTTTGTCCTCTGACTTTAAGCTCTCTAAACCAATAGATTCACCCAGGAAAAAGCAGACATTTAGCAGACACAGTTTCCCTTAATGGCTGCAGTGTAGAACAGTCATTGAAACACTTGTTCTAATTCAAAATGCTACCGTACACAGTCTTATAGGTACTCTCTCCCACGGGGTTTTACTGTACAGAAAGATTCACATGCTAGTGTTCGTAGATCATTGTAAGAAATGGAATGATTGCACTACAGATTTAGAGAGAAAATCCACACAGCATGTATTACATATGCAAGCATGCCTTCTAAATAGATACTTGACTACTTTAAGACAAGATAAAAAAAAAATCTGATCAGATTTTAAGAGATAAACAAACACAAAATGATTTTTTGAAAACCTTCAACAGCAGATGCAGTTTGCTTGAATGCAATGAGCAAGACAGTGAAATAGGGACAACACATTTAGACACAAATGAAATGAAGATAAAGGTATGGCATAGGTACAGCATTTATGCACATTTAGAAGCTCCCAACTGCTAGCAATGAATAAACTCTACAGAAAGACATATCTGTATGTAAATAATGAAAAACACAAACAAAAAATAAATAAAGCAATAGCACTGATATGAAAACCTGCTCAGATGTCCATTAAATGTCCATATGCTTGTTGACATGCCTGTTCCCCTTCCACCAGTTTGTGGAAGTGTCCTTACCATTTAAATCAAATTGTCTGAAAAGCCCTCATAATTAAATTCACTAAATGTTGTTTGTTTAGTACAGCCCTTCAATATTGTGGGATGTGATGAAAACTGCAGTTTACACCTATTGACGTGGGTTTTCACTTTGTCTAACTAGTTGTCTAACTCTCTAGTTATACCCATTTAATCAAATATAGCAACACATGCATATAGGAACATTTAATGAGCTGAACCACTGCATTAAAGCTATTCAGACACCCCAGAGTGCAACATTGCTCAACATGAAAACTAACATTATCATATCAACGATGAACAGAAATAGTTTTTAGTGGGTGCTAAGGCTTCTCAATTGTGGCAAAAAAAAATCATGATTAAGTCAGTATTGAAATAGCAATTATTTAACACAATTTCTCATGCCATGTCTCAGATGTATTATCTGATATTGTCTCAACCCTGTGTTTTCATTTAAAAAAAAAGGGAAAAAAACAACTTGTCTTTATAAACGTGAGCTCTCCACAAACATATAGTCTGCAACAGGAGATGGGTGACCACTGTCTGGCCACACTGTGGCTCTGTCGACAGAACATCAAGGTGGGATTTTGACTTATAGGTGTTCAGGTGTAAATCCCACAAAGGGTAGTATTGCATCATTGGTACCTCAGCCTAGCACATTTGCCAAATATGTGAGTCTGCAGTTCTTCTGGTACTAAGCAGGACTGATATTGCAACAAGACATCATCAGTAAGGTAAAAGTCTTGTCTTACAACAGTGTAATCCCAACACTCATTCCCTAATAGTGCTTTGGTGACTTTTTCAGTTTTGTTAGGAATTTACTGAGTGGAACCAACAGCAGGATTTTGAAGTAGGGTGAGAGAGGTGTTTAGCAAGAGTTACTGTAAAATGTAAGAGAGACCAGAAATATTGCTGGGAATGGAGAATTTGATGTTGTTGTACAAAGATTTGTGGTTTCCAGAGGCTGTCATTGTTTGTTTATTCGCTTTGTTGTACACTTTGTTGTAAGCTTCAGTTTGTAACAATATGACACACCATGGGTCAGCAATTGAAAGTAGAGTCGGTGATACTAATCCAGTGCACTTTCTGTGAAATTAAGCAAAAAATCTGTTGATGGTCTGTCTATTGTGTGTGCATGCTTCAGAAAAATGTGTGTTCACACACAGCCTTGACTCTTTAAATGGGGAAAAAAAGAGCCTCAGGAAAAGGGAGCGAGGGAAACGACAACTCTGGTCAATTCTAACAAGCTAAATACACTAGCTAGCTACATATCAATAACATGTAAATGCTTTGATGTCAAGTACAAAAGTGGAAACTTTAGCTTTTGTTGGGGGGCCAAATTTATTGATTTTTTTCTGTCATGCCGGTTTGGCTCATGGGCCACTATTTGCCTACCACTCTCATACGTATCCCACAACTTGAAAAAGATCAGGGAAAAGAAAAATTTAGTTGGAGTGACATATATCTCCTCCCCACTTAGTAGTAGGAATTTATAATAATCACTGCTGGAGTAACTTATCCTTGTATGTGTGAGCAGCAGTAGTATCAGTGAAGGGGTACTTAGACACTGAGTCAAAGCAGTATGACAAATGCTTTCGAGTAGCTGAGTGAGTAACTTCCAGATCTGTGACACCCACTCATCGAACTAAAGATAGGCCCTGAAGTCCCTTCCAGCCAGAGTGGTACTGTGATGATTTGCTGTGCCTAAGCAAAAGCCTTCTCTACTCTGAGCCACTTTCATGCTACATTGTATTCTATCACACCCCTAAATATCTGTAAAGATTGGGTAATTGCCTCCCCACTGTTACAAATGCAGTCTCAGAAACTGAATAGGCACCTTGATGTGAGGGAAGACTCGTACAAACAGAGAGACTGTGTGAAAAAGGGAGAAATAGAAAGACTCTGTTCTCACTTTCTGACTGCTTTGCCTGGAACACTGACACCAAGAACACATTTGAAAGCAGAAAGGCAGCCTTGATGGTTTTAGCTGAATGTCTCCTCTGATATTCTCACTTTTTGTACCTCTCTCTTTAGGCTCACTGGGATGGCCTCACTGGGAGAATCACTTTCAACCGGACCAATGGCCTGAGAACAGACTTTGACCTTGATGTCATCAGTCTTAAAGAAGAGGGCCTTGAGAAGGTTGTGTGTCTTTATTGCTATGTGTGTGTGTGTGTGTTTGTACTTATGACTCAGCCTAGTCTGAATATATATGTGATGATGAGATAGCACAGCTAAAATCGTGGTGCCACTAGAGCAGTATCGATAATTAATCAACATATACATCCATCATGTCTGTATAGTGACCAAATCCAAAGCCTGTGCTCACTGATTTTAATAATAACTTAACATCCATCCATCCATTATCTATGCACCACTTAATCCTCACTTGGGTCACGGGGGGCTGGAGTCTATCCAAGCTGACTAAGGGTGAAGACAGGGGACACCCTGGACAGGTCACCAGTCTATCACAGGGCTACACTTAGAGACAGACAACCAAACACACTCACAATCACACCTATTGACAATTTAGAATCACTAATTACCCTCAACATGTTTTTGGACTGTGTGGGAGGAAGCCGAAGAACCCAGAGAGAACCCACGCTGCACGGGGAGAACATGCAAACTCCACACAGAAAGATCCCAGGTGTCCTCACCCGGACGCATGCTTCTTTCTGCGAGGCAGTGGTGCTAACCACTGAGCCACCTTGCAGCCCAATAACTTAACATGTTTGTCGAATTTTATTTTCTTGCAATTACTGTATCACAGATTCAGTACACCTAATGAGACAAGTTCACTTGCTTTCATGCCCTCTTTTGCTCAATTAACATACTGACAAAGGAAAAGGAAAAGACAGCAGTTTGTTTACTGAAACAACTCTTTGACTTTTTAGATACAGCATACAAGACTGGCCTCGAATCCCTATAGTAATGTCTTAAAACACAGCAGAGTTCATGACTGGATTTCAAACCAATGACATTTTTTCAGAAGTGACATTAGAGTTCAATACAAGAAAGTTCAGTGTCACAACGCAGCACACCATGACTGTTGTTTTCCTTGTTATGTATTTAGTTGTTGCTTGTGCACAGCCAATCCTCCAAAGGACCCCTCTGACCCAGTTGCCAGGAGATTTGTGATGCAACTACAAAGCTTTTTTAAGAGCTTTATACTGTACATGAAAATAAATTGGATCCATCCATCCAAAGAGTACATGAGGATCAAACTGGCATCTGATGGCTCAAAATAACTTGTTGAGCAAACAGACATTTACCATCAGTTTTATATAGTTCAAAGCAGAGACAAGTTTAGATGAGAAAGGGATGTGACAAAGGTCTAGATTGAAATTCAGGACTTCATCTTGGTGCTACATGCTGCAGTTCACTGAGCCACTGGGACAGCTCAAATGTCAAATTTAAATTATGGAAATCTTGATAGGAAATGACACCTAATCTGCATTTTGACAAGTGGAATCAAAACACAGTTTTAATGTGTACACTAAAGATGCATTTTAACAGTTGTATACTATATATTAAAGTGCACTTAATTAAAACTCACTGCCATCAAATGAAGACAATATGGATATAGGACACATTTCAGACACATCTGACAAGGTCTGCCCTAATACAGTACTTCCTTGATATATCCTTAGTTAAACTGCAACAGGCGATACAGGTACTTCCTGTTTGCTGCTCTGAATGCAAAGGGAGATTTTTGCCTAACTTCTGCAGCGAATTTTAAATTTTATTCAACACAAATAGATTGTGACATCCAAAGACACAAACATTAGATGCAGACAGCTAATAATACACAGATTGATTTTAAAGTTTACTAGGTACTGATTCTGTTATTTTATTCAAAATGGGCATTTACTGGTAACTGTCATGGTGCAGTGTCGAACCCAAGGGGAGAGTACACAGAAACGACAGAAACCAGTCAGGAACAAGGTTTTATAAACACAACTGAATAATAAACAGGATGAACTAAGACGTGGGGAAGGAACTCTAACTAAGAACTAAACCTACAAAATAAATAGAAAGCCCGGAATAACCAAGGAATAATAAATAACTAAACTCAGAATAATAATGTAAAATATAATGTAATATACTAATATAAAAAATAGGAATAATAACTATAGTAATAAAAACTAACTGACTAAACTAGGAATAACCACTAACTAAAACTCCCTAACGGGCTGGGCAGGGGGCGGACAGGCTCCCGAAGACCAGCAGTCCAGGAGACACACACTGATGGAGTGGGTGGGTGGGTGGCAGAGAGTGGCAGTGGAGGTCCAGGGAATAGGCCAGGTTGGAACTGATCCTCTTCGGGAGAGGGTCTGGGGAATCTGAGGATGGGCAAAGGACAGAAACTAGGCTGGTAGGACGTCATCAAACCTCCTCCAGAGGTGGGTGCAGGAATTCCAGAGATTGGCAGGGATAGCAGGACTGAGGCAGAACTGGGGCAGCGCAGCCAGCAGAACTGCAGGAACAAGAAACACAGGTTAGTCACAGCAAGACACAAGAGCAACAATGTGCTGAGGCCTGATCACTCAACTACTTGGAGCTGAAGCCACAATCTGGCAGGGAGTAGAGTGTGGAATCGGCTTTTATGGAGGGAGAGATGTGACCAGAGTGCTGCGCTGCAGCTGCAGCTGCAGCTACCCAGCGTTCCTGCTGATGACAGTGATGATTAGTATCAGCCGCTGCAGGAAGCAGCACAGGAGACTGAGAGAGAGGGAGGAAGAACCAAAAGGAGAAGAAAAAGAGAGGAGCAAAAGAAAAGTAGGAGAGGGGGAGAAAAGGGGAGGTCAGGTGGGGGCAGATGCAGGGATCGGGGAGGGGGCCCTGGCAGTAACAGATTTTTATTCCTAAATAATTGTTTGACATTTTGCATCTTTAAGGCATGCTTTAAATGTAATCCAGTCTAAGGAAAGAGGAGTTACTTGCCTTATATCTACATTACATCTTCCCAGTAAAATTACAATGCCTGGCCCACCTGGTTTGAATGGCAAATTCATGTGAACACCATGGTCCACACTGTTAACAGCCACCACCACTGCATATGTGGTTCCCCTTGACATACAACTGGTTGTTGATTAGTTGAAAGAGGTTGCTAACTAGTGGAAACTCAAGAAGTATGTCTCTTGATGTCTCGCAGTAGTTGTGTTGCAAGTTTTCATCAACTAATTGTTAACTACAACTGGCCACTCATTTTAATGTTAGACCTACTGCACAAAGTCATCATGTTGCAACTTATTTGTTCATTAAAAAATAAATAGATAAAATGAAATGAAATAACACTCCCATTTTGAGGATTATCCCCATATCGGCAACTTTTAAGATTATATGTTTTCTTCCATGTTGCTCAGTGCACCAGTTGAATCAATCAACACATCTTAAATGTCAATATGGCAAACAAACCTTCTTTTAACATTTTGTGAGAAAGAAATCAAAGTGAACAATGGTTTGTCTTTAAGTGTTCAATAGTATTTTACGAACAAATAATGAGTCATACCTCAGCGTGGATCAGAGCAGCTTCCAAAACTGCTCTGATCCACGAGAAGCAGAAGAAAACAGGATGTATTTATACCCATACGTAAGTGGCGTACGTGACCAGTCATAGAGACGGTTTGCCTTACAAAAACAGGACCAAGGTCTGGGGTGTCCACAGGTTCATCAGGTTTAGGTCAGTTTTATGGTTAGGTAAGTGTGGCTGCTGTTTAGCTTGTCATTTGCATGCTGATATCAGCAACACCCAAAAAAATACAAAAAAAGCTAACAAAAACAACCACACTTCTGTAGCTACTTCATACTAGCACACAATAACATAAGTCTGCCATAAACCTCTTTCTATGAAATGTCAATTTATGTCATGATAGACAGTACAGCAGAAACAAGCATTATGTCTATGTTGACATGTATTATTTCCTCTTGTGAAAAATCACCCCAAAATTCTTTTGAAAGACTATATTGAAAGTACAGGTCCCAAAATAAAAAACTCAATGCAACAAGAGTGAATACACCAGCGATCAACTACACATAAGTATGCTTATTAACCTCATTACTTAACAAAATGAGTACAGTGATTTCCAATAGGCCTAACTGCATGAACATGATAATAAAATGAGCCACAAACACCAAAGCCTTCCCAACTCTGGACCTATGGGTTGTGTCTGTATGTCGGCATCATGGTGTTAAAAACAGACACTTCAAACAGGCACAGGGGTTATCGATGGGTCAGAGTTTATATGATAGGTCAGACAGTGAAAAGGACATTGCATGTCAACTTCTCTGGAAAGCAGAAAAAACCAACAACAACAACAAAAACACCATTTTTTCCTCTCTGGCACTTGGCAATTACAAGATTAGCTATGCCTGATGAATACTGGGAGCACATCCTTTGGACACATAAGATTAGAATCATTTTGTTTGGCTCAGGTTGTGTCCAGCATGTTTGGCATGAACCTAGTTGTGACAGTGAATCATAGTGGTGGCAGTGGCACAACATGAGTACAAAAGCTGCTGGGGACATGACACTATTAGTGGGCGCCATAAGTGCCTGTGAATATACCAAAATACTGGCCTACAAGATGACGCCCAGTCTGCAGGTGCTTGACAGAAGACGAATATTCCAGTATAACAACAATCTAAACAGCATAAGAGTTTCTGCAGAAGAAAAAGGTAAAAAAAGAAGAAGAAAAAAAACAAAACACAATCTGGCAAGTCGCTTGACAACAATTCATCAGAAACCCCCCCAGCAGTCAATTTTAGATTCAAGAGATTATCCAACGCTGCCAATAAAAATAATATTCTCACATGCAACTGCAAACATTTCATACTTCAGCATCCTCATCGGTGCTTACCTCTCAGCAGCTCCTGACCTCTGGTATATGTGCTGTGTGTGCCTGCACCTCCATGAATAATTTACTCTATTAATAAAAACCCCTTCAGAAGCCCTCAAGCCTCATGAAGTCTGAATTAAAGAGTTGATTTGCAATTACAAAGCCTATCTGATTCCCTCGCGCAGGGTATGAGAGATGCCCTGAGGAGTGTGTGACTTGTGTGGGTTGAAGTGTTTGTGGCCTCTTCTAGTAATGCTCATGGCAGAAGGGGTGGTTGGAGTGTGCGGGTGCTGCTGGGGAGGCTTGGGTATGAACACTTAGGGGGAGCTGAGAGAGGCCTAAAGAAGCCTTTAGGTATAATCTGATAACTTTGCCATCCTCTTCTACCCCCTTGGTTCTCCGGGATACACCTATTCATTTCCCAACTTCCCTTTCCCACTCCTCTCCTTTCAAACCGCCTCAGTGTGTTCGCCACCAAACGTCAAGAAGGCCACAAGGCCAATCTGGATCCTGGATCATCTCAAGTATTGCGCCCTGTGGGTGTCTAGGTTTTAGGTGTTTATATGGCTGTCAACTGTGAGCTGTTTTTCTCACACAATGGGCAAGTTTCAAAGAGAAATTCGGAGGAATGGCTTCTCAATTGAAATATTCCTTATCTTTTGATTTAAAAAAAAAATGTAGAAATTTCAGAGGACCAGAAATTCAAAGCAGAATATCATTACTTTTTAAATAAAGACCACAGTTAGGAGTAGCTAAACCTAACACTTGTTATGCTTTGTCATATGTACGTATGTGTACATCTGTGGTATATCATTCCTTCTATATGTATAAATAACTGGATTTTACAAATATCTATCTGTTCTGGAACCAGAACTAAACAATTGAACATTTGTATTTTGTTTTATAGATTGGTACCTGGGACCCTCCAAGTGGCCTGAACATGACAGACAACCAGAAGGGGAAGACAACTAATGTCTCTGATTCCTTGTCCAATCGATCCTTGGTCGTCTCCACCATACTGGTACTTCACTTTTTGTTTGTTTGTTTTCTGAATTGTTGTTGGGTTTCTATTTTGTACATGCCCTGTCCTCAAACAGGCGTCACCTTCGGATAACTCTGTCAAGGCTTTGCCTCAGCACCATGGGATTCAATTTACACTCACCACCCAATCAGGGTGCAGCATCCACCCACTGTGTCTCCTACAAAACGCCAGTGAATATGCTGCTCATCTGCCTTTTCACTTAGCTAGAGGACAAATTACTATCACCCTCCTGTGTTGTATAATGTCTACAAGCAAGTCAACTAAAGAGAAAATGGACAACGCCTAGTCTTTGGCAACCTCAGTTTTTAACAAGGCCTGTTTTTCTGTCCCCCCCCAATTTCAATTGCAATTCACAGTTTTGCAAAATGTCCAGTTTTCAGAGGCTGTTACATGTGTTTACCAGCTCTCTGCCCAGCCCTGCCAGGAAACATTGTTTTCCTGCTCATCTGGTACCCATCGTACATTATGCTCGCAATAATGCTAACTAGCCAGTGTATTAGCTAGCATGCTCACTGGCTAATGTGCTAGGTGGCTGGGATGCTCTTACTTCTTGTTCGAGCCACCACCGAGCTACATGAAACCTGGCAGTCAGGGCGTCAAAGGAAAGCAGCTCTATTTTGACTTCAAGCTTTCAACCTCAGTAGCCTCCTTCTCAGCAGCAGCAGCACTGGCTGCTCATGCATAGTTTAGTATATTTATAAATTGAATGTGATTGCAATGTCTGTGCACACTCTCAGCCATATCACATACCATTTTTTTCCCTCTTATTTACAAACAGACATCTGCTCGAGTGTATCCACAGATGCACATTCCCATCCTGCCAAGTCAGTGTCTATACTTTGTAGTATTGGAAAAGTTGAATCACATGATAAATCTCACATGATTACACTGTCTGCATCCACTCAACAGCCATTTGGCGCAGTATTCTCTTCCCGTGTCAACAATCAGTTGTTTGCTGGAGTGCATTCAACACGTGACTGGATGACATCCATAGATGGAAAGTTGCATATGTCCACATTCTTATCTTGCTGTGGCAATAAGCCATGTTTTACAGTACAAGAGGATTTTTATTAGGAGACGTATCATATATAATTTGATATAAATGAATTGTACGAGATTCTAGTATCTGCACACAGTCAAGCGTTCACCCAGTCCGTTCACTATGAGTGGACCTGGGATATGTTTCTCATGTCAGGTGTTTAAGGACACCCAAGCTGGCTAGGACACACCGTTTTGCCCCACTACCGTGTTACATGCAGTCAGACAACAGCTTGGTAGCAGCATACTTCAACAGTGATGGGACAGTGAAATGAGGTCCCCCAGTCTGTATGGGATAAGTGCAGGAATCTTGACATGAGCAGATTGCCGCCTTCTATGTTAAGGGCTTGCCACTTGCCTGGGATCACCTATGTTGAGTCAGTAGAATTTTCTAGGCAGGGGGCCTCCTAGATAATGAGTAATGCATCTCGTTGGACATAGCAAACTGTTTGGTATTGCTTTGATCAGCCTGTAGCTGACCTGTTGGTGAGCAGAGACAATGCTCAGTGTCTGCTTTGGTTGCTTCTTAGAGCGGTGATGCTCCTCTTTTCACCCATCTGATCTGGTCCGCCTCCCTGCTTTTTTTCTGTGAGCCCACCTGTCCACTGCACAGACTCCAGATGCAGCACCTATTAATTGATGTAGTGATATCAGAAATTCCAGAACCCCGGTAACTCCTAGTCCTGACTCAGATGGCAATGGAGCCGTTGCTGACCCTCAATCAGCCTAAAGTCAAACCAGCAGGTTCCCTTCAGCCATGTCCAGACATACTTTTACTTTATGTAATATATTTACTGTAGACTTTTATAGTCTGGTATTAGAACGTTTGCTGGAGTAAAGGGCTGAGTAGTTTCTCTATCGCTGCCTATCTTTTACTGTAAAGGAAAACAAGGACTAAATAACTATATGAATTATTGTGTTTTCAATTAGCAAGGATAAACAGCCACAGCCTGACTGCACGTCCTTTTTAAAGAAGGTCATATAGACAAGTGAGTGTGATAGAAGCAGCAACATGTTGCTGCAGTTACAGTAAAATGTTTCTATAAAGGGAAGTGAAGCTACTTCAGTTGGTTATTACGAACCTCAGTAAGCACAATAGTTTTTGAAAATCTGTGTGTTGTGTTCACTGTCACAACAGAGAAAAAAAGAGTCCGTTCATATTAATTTACTGGAACATCCTCCTGCATTATTCACAGCAGAGATTGTGAAAGTCTGCTGATAAATGTTAGCAGCAGAAAGAGTGAGAGTAAGATAAAGCAATCATAACTGTAGCATCGATGGTCTCTGGTTTATATGTTCGTGTTTACTTCGGCTACTTTACTGTAATGACAGTAGAGTCTTGTAAATTGATTTGTAGCAGCATTTGCTAAATTAAAGTTGTTGTTATGAAACAGTCACACAGTTTGTGCAGCTGACCTACTAATCAAGCAGCTCAGAAACAACTGAGCAGGATAACAGAATAATGCTAATTACAATTTATTAAGACAAATACACCAGGAAATAGAAAACACAGAGGCTCTCGCTCGCAGTGTGCTCGAGTGTTAGGGATGGATAGCGGAAAATATACAGTAGGTGCAATATACTGTATCAGCCTTTACACTGTCATTCTGATAGTAGTTAGGGAGCAATGGAAATTTCTCTTGGGCCTAGGCAGTCATTAGCTTCAGTACTAACTAGGGCTAAACCCCCATGCTCACACTGCCAGCTACTTGCTCTCTGTCGCTCCACTACTCACAGTTCCTCTACATACACATATCCGCCCTGCTCAACACTCTGTAACAACTGTTCATACTCAAGCATGAGTAAAATGTTTTTAGGGAACGATAAGCAGAATCAAAAGTAAACTTTCTTAATGATTCCTTTAGATTACGGCCCTTCCTTCTGAGTTGTTCAAGAAAGGGGCTTGGGAGTTTACGTCTACATATGCCTCTCCAAAGAGAGTTGGGGATCTCAAAGTGTTGACAGTGCACCCATCCTGCATGTCTGCCAAGGAGGGCAAGACCAGGATATGTCCCCTTTTCCTATTGCTTGGCCTCAAAGTGCTTTCAACAAGGGGGACTGTAGCCTCGACTCCCTTGTTCAGTGGTGTGTCACTGGAAGACATCTGTTTGACTGCATCTTGGTCTTCATCGTTTACCTTTCTACAGAGACGCCAACAATGAGACGCAATGTAAGGTTTGGTGCCTGCACTGCCACTTGAGAAATGCAGATGTAGCAGACGCAGTGTCTTTGCCTCTTGTAGTAGCCATGTGACTCTAGGACTCCTGTGCAGGTTGTACCTGAGCTGTGGACTTCGACTAATTTTATTTTTTTTTTTCTCGCCTAGTTAGGGAGTACATTGATGATTTTAGGCCTTCACTTTCTGTCTTAACAAATACAAAAGCCCGTTAGTGGGGGGAGCAGGTCTGAAATAGCAACAGCAATTGCTGGATGATGTAATGCCAGTACTGTTAGTGCATGCATAACCCACGAACTTCAGACCCATGTGGCCCCTATATAGATGTATATAGATTTTAAGTGGAGATAAACAATGTGTGCACTAGGGTTTTATAGGGGACAGCAGTTGGCAGTTGCTATCCCCTTACTGAAGGATGGGTGATCTTCTGTAGGTCAGTCTGTATCAAACGGTCAGTCAAACTTATTTATATGTAAATATGTAGCACAAGTCATTCGCTGAATGTGACTTCAATTACTCAACATTACAAGTTAAAAAGATCATAGGTTTATGACAAATGTAGTTTAAGATAGTAGGGACAACCGTGCAATTGCTTAAAGTACTAAACTGTCCTAACTTGTCACTTGGTTGGAAAAACTGCAAAGTAGGTATTCAAGACACAGTATCATTCCTTTCATTACCTCTAGTCTGGCGGAATTAAAAGCTGTTTGTTGTTGCTCATTGGTATTGCTCGTATCAAGGCCGAATTACCAAGCTGACACAAAAGTTCATAACAACAGGAATATTGTTGCTGGGGCTCTTGACAACATATATTAAAGCCTCCAATGATATTAGTACATACATAAAGTGCACAGTGAGAGAAACCATGGTTGGGGTTGGGGGCCTAAAGTGCATTTTCATCCTGTGACCTATCGATGAATCAAGGCTTAAACCACAGTTTACCTTCTCCAGACAAAATCAAAGAAACAGCAATGCACTTGTAACAGATCTCTAAATTCAATAATCTTGTTATCAAGCCTTCTTTTCTGTGATCAGCTTTGTGATTTGTGCACTCCCACATCAGTGTGACAATGGTTTAGTAGTATGACAAGTGTTGCTGAGATTTTAAAAGTCACTTGTAACATAATGCTGCTGTCATTGTAGTGATGCTACTGTGATCCAAAAGTCACATAGCAAAGTTTTTTTTGTTTGTTTTTTTTTTTTTTTTAATTGTGACTTGCAGGGAATTAGAAAGCAAGAAAAAAGTCATGGACAACGTCGGTTGGTTTTACTCAGAACAGTTATACGTATAAGATGAGATAAACTTTATTGATCCCTCACATGTTACAGCAGGTGGACACAGATAAGGCATGAAAGAAGCAGGACAAGAAATTACAAAAGTACAATAAGGCTAAAAAATAAAGATATAACAATAAAGGTCTCATAGAGACAATATACCTGTCATGATGAATCTACATATGGACATGTACATATATCACACAGTGACATGCCTAACACAGTGAGAGGACACACAGAAGGAAACAAAATGCTCTTCACCTCATTATCTCCGTATTACCTAAGTCAGGTGTTTGAAAAAGTAGGACATTAACCAATAGGTAAAGATAAACCCAATCTTGTGCAGTTATCTAACATTACCTATGATGATTTATAAGTAAAGAAGCCTGCAAAATTCAAAGAGTTACCTCTTGCTGCCATTTGGTCTAATGGTGTGCAAATTAAACATTGCAGCTTTAAATGTCTATTTATAGCCAAATCAAATTGTAAT